TTATAAGCTCCTTCGATTATTTTGTAATGGCCCCCTCCAATTCCAATTGTACAAAATGCTTAAATTTTTACCCTTAGAGGATGGGATTTTTATTATTGGACGGACATTGTATGGTGCCCAGGAGTATATTTGTACAACGTGCAAGTTTATTCCAGTTTCATTTAAGAAATATAATTTTTTTCTTGAGGTATTTAAGATTTTTACACAATAGATTTGACGAATATTGATTGCCCCATGAGTATTTCTTCTATCAGGCTCTTTGTCAGCTCTTTTTTCGACCAACCTATATTTTGATATATTTGCAAATTGTTTTTTTTTATCCATCGATAAACTTATGATGCACCTTTAAATTAAGGAAGAATTTTTTTTTTACTTCCTCTTTTTTGAATACTATATTCTTTTAATCTTCATTTATATCTGGGAATGTGTCCCGTCTAAATTTATGGACCGATGCTGTAGACATTTCGACGTATTTTGCAATGTCTTTAATTTTCATCTGTTGTCTTTCAGGCATTGATAACATTTTAGTAACTATATCTATTTTTTCTTTATTCCAATAGTTGTGTATTCTTTTTGGTCTTTGAATTCTCGACGATGATTAGAAGTTTTCATTTAAATTGGAAGAATAATATTACTATTGGATAATAAAGATTCTACCTTAAACATTTTTTTTATTATTTAAGAACAATATAAAAAATTAATAAATATTTTTTACATATAAGAAAAATTTTAAAAATTAATAAATATTTTTTTACTTATTTAAGAAAAATTTAAAAAATTAATAAATATTTTTTTTTACTATAACACATATTTTTATTTTTAATAAAATTTCCAACACATTTCTTTTCAATGATTAATCTTGTTAATTGATTACTTGTTCATATTAAATTTCAATATGTTTTTAAATTTTAAAAAAATCTTTGTATATTTACCCCCTTTTATTGTTAGATTCGTTTCACTTTACAATCTATTAGTGATTTTCACAATCATCTTTGTAAATATATCTTTTATTGAGGAATTATATTGTAAATTTTATTAGATAAATAAACATTATTTTTTTTATCAATTTTGTAAAATTATCTATTTTTTTATTAAATGAGGTGGTTTTTTCAAAATAATTTTTTTTAAATATTTATATTAAACCTTTTTGATGTTATTTTATATGATCTTATATGGATAATATTTTAATGTGACAATTGTCATAATCGTTATTTTTAAAGTTTTTTGACGAAAATATGTTAAATTAAGTATTGATAACATATTTAAATAAAACTTCAGTGAAGTACCTTAGAAAAATTGTCATAATCGTTCTTTTTAAAGTTTTTTTGATATTTTTTGACGAAAATAGATTAAAATAAGTATTGATAACAAATAAAAATTTAGTGAAGATGTAACATAGAAAAGTGACAATTGTCATAATCGTTATTTTTAAAGTTATTTGATTTTTTTTGACGAGAATAGATTAAAATAAATATTGATAACATGTTAAAATTTAGTAAAGATGTACTCTATATAAGTGACAATTGTCATAATCGTTATATTTAAAGTTTTTTTGATATTTTTTGACGAAAATAGATTAAAATAAGTATTGATAACAAATAAAAATTTAGTGAAGATTTAACATAGAAAAGTGACAATTGTCATAATCGTTATTTTTAAAGTTATTTGATTTATTTTGACGAGAATAGATTAAAATAAATATAGATAACATGTTAAAATTTAGTGAAGATGTACTCTAGATAAGTGACAATTGTCATGTTATTTTTAAAGTTTTTTGAATTTTTTGAAGCAAAAGAGTTAAAATTAGTGCTATAATTAATTTAATAGGTAAAGAAATTAAAATATAAATATTTAATTTCTTTTAAGCTAAAGATAATTTGATTGATAAATAATCATTCATTAACTCGACATTTTTTTTTATTTTTTCATAGATGTAAATATTAATAAAATTTTTTATTAAATATTTTTTAATGTGGTTTTTATTCATATTAAGGGTTGTTTATGAATTTTTAAATGTGGTTTTTGTAAATAATTAATTTATCAGATAGCTGTAGAGGTGTATTTGCATGACCCGAATTTTTAAAATAGAAAAATTTCGTCCTGGCTCCTATTTTCAAAAAAAAGTTAGGCCTGGCCAGAATTTTATCCGTACTTTATATATTCAGAGCCGGCCTGTCCCGGATTTTCTTAATGTTGTTTTATACTTATTTTAACCTATTTTAGTCAAAAAAATTCAAAAAACTTTAAAAATAACGATTATGACAATAGTCACTTATCTAGGGTACATCTTCACTAAAGTTTTATTTAAAATGTTATCAATACTTATTTTAACCTATTTTTGTCAGAAAAATTCAAAAACCTTTAAAAATAACGATGGCAATTGTCACTTTTCTATGGTACATCTTCACTAAATTTTATTTAAACATGTTATCGATACTATTTTGATCTATTTTCGTCAAAAAAATCAAAAAACTTTAAAAATAACGATTATGACAATAAAATCAAAAAACCTTAAAAATAACGATTATGATAATTGTCACTTTTCTATGGTACATCTTCACTAAATTTTATTTAAACATGTTATCAATACTTATTTTAACCTATTTTCGTCAAAAAAATTCAAAAAACTTTAAAAATAAAGATTATGACAATTGTCACTTTAAAATATTATCCTTAAAAAGATCAAATAAAATAACATCAAAAAAGTTTAATATAAATATTTTTAAAAAATTATATAGAAAAAACTACCTCATTTATTAGAAATTATTTTTTTTATTAAAAAAACATCAAATAAATAAATTTATTTTCATTTCAAAATATAATAATATAAATAAAAAATATTAAATCATATGTTTATTTGTTGCTAATAAAAAAATATTTTCATTAAATATAAATAAAATAAATTATTTTAAATAAATAAATAATAATTAATGCAAGGCATCGATGCAGAATTTTTGACAAATTTATTTTTAGCCGATTTTTAGGCTTAGCTTTATTAGGCTTAGGCGTAGTTTTTAGCCGATTATGCAACACTACTCTAGACGTCAAAATCAATCTAAAATTTGGGTCAGCGCTATTTGAGCCGACTTGGATAAATCTTTTACCAACATTACAAGGTTAAAAGTCGCAGACATTAATCGAATTTGGAACCCCTTAAATTTATATCTTCTGACAACACGTCCAGATGGAATTAACTTAAATTACTTGAAATTTTTGAGATTTCGCGCATAGAGTTATCATGTGTAGATAGATCACATATTAACTTCAAACGTTAATAGAGGAATGACCTAAAATAATATAGAGGGCAAAAAGTGGGATTAATCGCATTCTTAATAAAGCATCCCATTTTTACATTAATCAAACATTGGTGTTCAAGGAACTGGGGAATTCCATAGTCTGAACTGGGGAACCATAAGAGTCTATAACAAGGGATAGTCCTAGGTATGCACTGGGACAAATTAAAAGTAGCGCGCCACTTTTTATAAGTAGCTACCGGTAGCGACGCATAGCACCGCTACTTTTTTTGAGTATCTATATCTAAAATTAGTTATTTAATTTGCTACATTAAAAAAATTAATTAATATTTTTAATGGTGGATATTTAATCTAAGTTTATAATTTATAATTTGAATAAATAAAATGAATATATTTTAAGGAATTAGATATATTCAAGTCCTTTCACTTTTTAAATTCATTTATTTAAATTTTGAAATCAAAATGAAGAATCTTTTCATCATCTTCAATCTCAAATTTTAAAAATATCACCTAACAAAATGCGTACCTCTAGTGTTTTAAATTTTTCTTATGATATTTCTGTTGAGGATAATAAAAATGATAGAATCATATTTTTTTGTGATCATCAATATCAATAATATTTAAAGAGTTCCCTCTTCTAAAACACTATTCATAAAATACAATACCACTATCGCATCCAATTCTCCAGTTGAAAGTTTATATAGTCTAGCAAAGAATGTTTTGGTGAGAAAAAGATGTTCTTTGCCAGACATTTTCTCTTAAAAGGAAATACAAAGCAAATTAATTAAAATTATATTAATTAATATTTATTATAAAAACCTTTTATTATATGTTATTATATTTCAAATTTTAATCAAGATTTCATTTACGATTATAAAAAAATAAACAAATGTGCTGCAATATTTTATTTATTAGCCCTTATTTAAGAAAAAAATTTAGACATACTTTTTAAAGTAGCTACTAAAATAGCTATGCCACATATAAAAAGTAGGTATAGCGAGTTATTTTTCAATAAAATAGCCAATCAGTAACGAATATATTTTTGGAAAGTAGCTGTAGGTAATTGTAAATTTGAATTTATTATTTATGAATAATTTTAGTAAAATAAAGGTTCATAATAACAAATATAGGTATCTACCCTATATTTAGAGTAATCTCTATTTTTATTCGCTTTGTGAAAAATACTATTTCTTTGAATCCTCGTATCTCTAATATTAATAAAGCATGTATACCCAGGATTTTTTTTATGAAGGGGGGGGACATTATTAAGTGCGTTTTCCCCATAAATTTTATTATAGATCTTTACATCCATATATTCTAGGCCTTTGACATGCGATTTTCATAAAAATAATTTTGGGTTTTCACTTTTTTATAAAAATGTTTTTTTTTAAAAAAAATTGAATTATAGCCGTTATCTTAAAAAGTTATTAACTTTTACTATTTTTTCTTTCAAATTCTTCCTTATAGTGATATATTATATATATTTTTAGAGGAGAAAGAGTGAGGAGTATGAAGCAGGGAAATTTTTTATTAGCTTATAATGTTACAGACAAATTGGTAAAGGAGGGGAAGGCGATCCCCCCCCTCCCTTTGTTAACCGCCTGTAATAAAGTCAGAGCAATTAAAATATGATTCTATAATTTTCTGATTTATAAGAACTCTTTGAATAATTTCATGTTAATTAACACGAGCATATAATGTTAAATCAAAATATATGAAAAAATATAATAAATAATGATCCCTTACAATAACTTCTTGCGTATTTCCGTGATTAAAATATTCGTGTATAATGGGTTCAACCTTAGCAGCTAACATGTGACGCTCAAGTTCTGGTATTGAAATTTCAGTGATAATATCTTGCTAAATTTTATAATAAATATGAAAACAAATTATATTTCAAAAAGTAGAAGAAAGATCAAATATAAATTTGTAGATTTATCAAAATGTTTTTAAAACTATTAGATAGTTTTGACTTAGATTATAAACTTAAAATATAATATATATATATATTCTGATTAACATATACTAACAAGAGGAACAATGTGATCTTATATACCCTTCATTTCACCCTATTTTTATGTGTGCTGAATCATAAGAAAAGTAATAAATTCTGATGGAGTGTCGAACTTTTTTAAAAAATCAAATGCGATTGGAATAAATGGAATGAAACAGTATTATGAATTATAGATTCCGATGTTACCATAAAACTTAGGTTTTATATTTGATGTCCTATTTTATAACATTGCGGCGGGATGCAAGGTAACTTGTGAAGTTGTTTGATGATAATTCTGAACTTCGTCTTGGACAATAAAGAAATAATTTTCCAAAAAGTCAAAAATAATTAGATAGTGATTATTTTCTAAACTATTTTTAAGGTTATTGTGAAATAAACTCTATAGTTCACAAATAAATGAATGGCGTATGAGAATATTCATTTTATCGAAAAAATAATTAATAAATTCGTCTGAAAATTGAGAAATAGTTTCCAGCATTGTTCTACCCAAGGAGACTCACACTGCAAAAGCGCTATCATTTTTAAAGAAAATCTTTCTATGCATTCTTTAGGAGTGCCAAACCAGGACACTGGCTACAGTTACCAAAATAGCAGGTGGATAACGAGGGATTTCAAGTCATTCTGTCTAATATTGCTAATATTTTCTCATCTTTCGTCAGCGTTGCTAATTCACAGCCTAAAATCATACAAATCCAAACATTATGCGTCTCTAGTCCACTGTAATACATAATTTTTGGTCTTAAATGACTAAATTTTGAAAATCCTATTGTTATGTCAGAATTACTCTCCTTAACATGATTGCATATTTAATTAATAAATGTGATATTTATGCAATATTTAATCTATTTAGGATATAATATTCTGTGTGGTTAATATAAATCAACAATAAAATTTTAAACTATCAAATTGAAATATACATGTGAGTCATTCCATATTAAATTGACCAAAAAACGATATTTTTAGACGACCATCTCTAAAATGAAGGAAACTTGACAAGATAGTTATCTATGCTGTATATTTTAGTAAAATCAAAATTTAAGAGCGCTAGCTGAATCAGATCCAAAGATATATGTCTTCAAAGTCGAAAATAGCCTAAGGCCATTTCCAGACAGAACGTTTTTCCAAAGCGGTTTTAAGGTAATGTTACCAGCAATCAATTTTTTATTTTCAAAAAAAATGTTAGCTTCTCGAATTAATTTTTTTTTATTATAATATAATATTTTTAAAAAAAACAATCTAGATCCCCATTTTTTTAAATCGTAAATAGAAAACAAACTGGTTTGATTTTAATAATGATCAAATGGCGTTTTGATATGTAGTTCCGGATTGTATTTTTTTAAATATTATTGTTGTAGCCGTTAGAAAAAAGAAGAAATAAATTTAATATAATATACTAAATGTCAGTCATTTTCTGATATGATAATTAATTTTTCCTTGGGGGTGGGAGTGGAAAGGAGTGATCACATGGGGCTTTGGGGAAAGGAGAACAACAGACGTTTCTTTGTGTCTTTGGTGAGGAGAGATGGATGTCAGAAGCTTAATGATCTTAAAAATGAATAATATGAAATAAGGTGGATCTTCACAATGTAATTTGTATAATTTTTGTATGAATTTTTATATTATGAATTTTAGTAAATAAAGAATTTGAAGGGGTTGTTATAGTGGATTTGTTTCAGTACTGTTTAGATTAAATATTGACAGGGGTGAAAGTAAGGGGTGTACAATTATATTATACAAAAAAAATTAATTCTAGAATTTAACATTTTTTTAGACAATAAAAAAAAATTGCTGTTAACATTACCTAAAACCCGCTTTGAAAAAACGTTCTGTCTGGAAATGGCTCATTATATCTTCTTTTTAAAGTCTGGACCGGTCTTTTTTTCTAAACATGTGTTTATGACGATTTTTGGTGGTTAATCAAAGTACTTAAAAAGAATGAAATTACTGAGAAGATAAATATATTTCTTTTTTTATCTTACTACGGAATATTATATCCTTCTTTTACCCCACAAGCGACATCAAAAAATAACGTTAGTAGATCTACAACAAAGACAAAATATACCTACAAATTATAGCCTCAGGAAATACTATAAATAGGCGTAAAATGGAATATAAGGGATATTTTTTTATAATATGTATATAAAATTTTAAAATATTTTTATTTTACAATATAGCGTCCTAATAATAATCATATTTGTATGGGCTATCAGCTTGCATATCGCCTCAAGAGATCAAATTGGTTAAACTCAGGGGCGGATTGGCCATAAGACCCGGTGGGCATTTTGCCCACGAGGCCGCGAGAAAATGTCGATTTTTGAGGCCGATCAGAGGAAAATAACAAAATAGAGGCCGATTAGAAAAAAATTATTATTTTCACATTATTTTCTCTTATCATTTATTTATTTTTAATGATATCTCTATGATTTGAATATCACATTCCTTGAGAATTGTCATGTCGTTTACTATATTTTAATGCATAATATATCAATAACGTCGCTTGTCACTACACATTTACCACGTTCTTTTCTTTGTTTTTTTTTCAAATGAAGTAAAATGGCTTCTGTTTGAGAAGAGTAAAAGCTAAGTTTTGATTAATTTATTATAATATATTTTTATACATTGATTAATTGTAGAAATATTTATTGTTCTTTAATTCATTGAAATCAAATAAAATCCAGGTCGGTGAATCAGATAAAAGGATGGATGCTTGGGTGAAACAGAATAATTCATCTGGCCAAAATAAGTTGAGAAGGCTGCAAAAAATAGGTGAGATAAGGTGGTGGGCAAGTTAGATGGTTATATGGTAAAGACTTGCCCCCAATAATAATAAATGCACTTCAATTTATAATATAATAAATAATTTGAGACAAAAACATAATTTATGTTAATTTAAGACTCTAAGTACAGCTATAATATATTTTGAAATTTTTAAAATAATAGGGCCACTGTCATATTTTTAAACTAAAAAATTAGGTACTTTGTCAGCATGGAAAATGAAAGAAGATGCTATCGATTATTACATCGATTCAAAATAAAGCAATAAAATGGCTTCTATTTAAATGAAACATTTTCATATTTATAGCTCCCGGAGAGTATCTGAGTATAAAATGCTCTGTAAAAAGATCGAATAGGACGAGCGAAGAGAATATATAGTGACAAATGCCAAGATGAACGTCCTCAAGAATCGATTGACCTTTATAGGTTCGAACTATTTCGTCCTATAATTGATCAAATTATAAACAGCTTGTTGGAACTACTTTCTGCGAATTGAGAGCTTAGCTTGAATGTGCAATATTTGCATCCAAGACATTTTGATGAAATAAATAGTAAAGATTAAAGGAATTTCTGAAAAGGCCTTGGAAAAACTGGCACAATTAGCATATATATTGAGTTTCATAACGAATTATGTTCATTTGCCAGTGTATTCAAAGATTTGGTAGCAGAATTATAAATGAAACGGACGATGATATCGCATGTACAAGTGAGGAGTCAAATGAAGAAGATGGAATATAACAAGTGTTTAATATGCGTGTATGAAATTCTTTCATGATACAATATACATACAATAGACACTAATTTATTTTTGCAAATGAATACATTTTAACTTTATCATTTACTCAGGTTAATTGCGAGAAAGCATTTAGTAAATTAAAAATTATAAAAATAAGCTGAGAGCTAATATTGACCCTTGACCAAGAAAAATTTGAAGCGTTTTTTAATGATGTCAGTTGAACGAGATTAGAGTAAATTGAACTTGAAGATATTCTTGTATATTTGCGCAAAGGTTTATAATGAGAAATTTATTAACGTAAAAATTATTTCTTTTATTAGAATTTTATTAATATTATTTACAATATGGTCGGTACCTGATTTTATAAAAGTGCAGCAATTTTATTCTCTGTAATATTGTATAACTGCAATAATTTTATATTTATAATTAATTGATTTAATATATTGAGAATGCATTTTCTTTATATTTAACATGTGATGTATGATTTGATTTTATAGTGCAATATCGTTGTAAATCTAATATAAAATAAATATTTTCAATTAATACTATTTTATATAGGTAATGAATATGATTTTAGATGTGCATTTTTTTTAAATAAAATATATTATCGTATAATACTATTCTTTTTTTTACTAAAATGTAAAACGTTTGAGCTTATTTTCAAAAATAAGAAGTAATAAAAATCATGTAAATCAAAGAAGCTATTTAAGAGAACCTGGTCGAAGACTGGGCAAAATGGGGGTATGAGGGCGAAGCCGACATATAAATGAGGCCGCTATAAAAAATGCTAACGAGGCCGTAGCGTCGCCAGTCCGCCCCTGGTTATACTCAATGGATTTTTAAATTTTAATACCAATACAATGAATATTTTTATCATATATATTATACGGTAATAATTTTTAAAATTTAACGCCATCTATATATATATTTTATAAATAAAAATAAATAAAATTGAAATAACAAAAATGGCTTTCGACTTTTTTGATTAAACAGTTAAATATGAAGGTATTAACATTTTAGTGAATATTAACATCCAAAAAATCCTTTCTCAACAATGTAAATATTTTATTTACCGAAAATCAGAAAATTTTTTTTTTTTATTTTAAATTTTTTAATATAGAATTTTTAAGGGTTATAAAATCATATATAAGCAGAATATGATTAATGCATTTAGCGATTTTAGACTTTGAAGGAGTATATCTTTAGATCTGGGTAGCTAGCGCTATAAAATTTCGATTTTAATAAAAATTTACAACATAAATAACTAATATGCCAAGTTTCATTTTTGAGATGGTCATCCAAAACTGTTGATTTGTAATGAAATGACCCATGTGTAACATTAAAATAATGGTAAACCGAACATTCGGAATCATAATTGGGATCATTTTTGTCAATATAGCAAGCATGATTCTCGTTACTATAATCTTCCCCAAATTTTCCCCAAGTCCCTTTTCCTCCAGCTCCACCTTTAAATAAATGATTAAAAAAAATAGTTAGCTTGCAAAATATTTAATTGAAAGGCGATCGTGTTTCTGCCTACCAGGCAGGCGCGTAACCAATGGGGGGGAAAGGGGGAAATTCCCCCCCCCATCGGAAATTTGACTATTTTCATAAATATCATTTTAAGCTAATAAAAATTTTACCCCTACCCCCCAGACCCCCCCCCACCCCACCAATCAAAATTTTACAAATATTTGAATATCAATTTTCCAACATATTATTCAAATATATTAATAAAATGGAAAAATATTTAGTCAAAGAGATTGAAATTAAACGATAATTTATAAATAAGGTTGAGCATGAAAAAAAAGTAATGTGTCGTTAGCAGCGATATCATTATTGAATTCAATTGATCAATCAGAGTTTATCATTGCTGCTAGTTGCATCAATAAATTATTTTCCTATAGCTCACTACTTTGTAGAAATTTACAAAAACCAAATTTAGATTTGGTTCAGGTTATTGATTTGGCGGAAAATATACATGAACAGGTAGATACAATAAGAAGAATGAATGTAGACGTTGAATCGAAGGCTAAATTTTATGATATAATACTAATTAAACCTCGTCTAGCACCTAGGCCATTATTGAGATGAAAATAAATATTGGCTCAACTGAAGAATATTATAAAATATCCATTTTCATCCCATTCTTAGATACTTTTTTATCGCAAATAAAAGTACGGGTTTTAGATAAAAAACAAGTTTTTAGCAATCTTCAAGTTTTATTACCCAAAGATCCTTCTTCATTTTCTAATGCCACTATTGGTAAAATTAAATATTTAGAAAAATTTTATTCCTATGAGATTGATACTGAAATAAATTTAATCAGTGAATTCGAATTGTGGTATAAATATTTATACGTTTAGCTATTTTACCTGAGCATGCTATTGATGCGCTCAATCGGTGTAAAGAAACCTTGGCTCAATTTCCTAATATTTCGAAGTTGTTTTATATTCTTGCATGTTTGCCTATTACAACATGTACGAATGAAAGGACTTTTTCCAACTTGAGAGGGTTGAAAACATATTTACGAAGTACTGAATCTCGGCTAAATGGGTTAGCTCTGTTAAATATACACAGAGATTTGGTTCCAACGACAAACGAAATAATTAAAAATCTTGTATTTGATAAGAAGTTAAAAAAAACTTGTTAATTTAATTATTTTCTAGTCAATATTTTAAACTATTATTAGTATTTTCAATAAAAAAATTATATTCTACTTATATTGTATGAGAATTTAAGCTGAGGCTAGTTTTTAAAGCAAATTTTATAAAAAAAATGACATTACACTTTATTTCAACTTTACATTTAAAAAAACATTATTAAATATAATATACCTATCTTGAAATAATAAAAAAGAGGCTTGTAATATCCTATCCATAAGCACGAATTAGTAAATAATAGTTAAAAATAGAAAAATAATTAAATTATGAATAATTTAATAGAATAGCTAAATAAGACCCGGCCGTAGGCCGGGGAAAAGCTGGCCGAAGGCCAGGTAAAAGGGGTTTGGGGGAGAAGCCCCAAAATTTTTTTTCCCCCCTATAAGAAAATCCTGGATACGCCACTGCTACAAGGTTGTGGAAATAAAATTTTTCGATTAAATTTAATCATTAAATGTGCTACTTACAGGGTTTCCCATTCAAAAAAGGAAAAGTTCCAATCATAAAATGAAAAGGTTCAATCAAAAAAGGAAAATTCCCAAAAAGAAAGTCCGATCAAAAAAGGAAAAGTGTCAAACAAAAAAATTGTTTGGACCTTTTCCTTTTTTGATCGGACCTTTTCCTTTTATGATTGAAACTTTTACTTTTTTGATTGGGATTTTTCCTTTTTTGAATGGGAAACCCTGTAATTGATCTGCTATCCTACTATATTATATACCTTTTTAATATTTTCAATGTTTGTTTTAACAATAGCAAAGATACCAGTCACAAATAATGAGGAATCAAAAATAATGGGAAGCACATCATAAATGTTGGAGAATCACAAACGGCAGTGAGATGAAATGCATTCAACAAAAAAATTAGGGATGTACCAAATTAAATATTGAATAGGATCGGATAGATATTTCGCGTTTTCAAAAAATATAGGATCGGGTTGATAGTATTTATATATAAAATTCTCTGCATTTCAATCATGCTATATAACTTTTAAATCTCGGAGATTTTGAAATATTAATGATGAAACCTATATCATTTTTTTTGCTTTGTCAATAGAAATTAAAGTTATTCAATCAGTTTAGTAGCTGAAATTATAATACTAGAGTTACTAACCAAATAAACAAAAAAATGGCTGCACACCAAAACAAAAACTACTATACCGGTTTTTAATTATTTATTACCATAATAGTTCATTATAATTCCGTAATTATTTGTTTAACCCCTTTATGAAAAAGGAGTTAATATTATAAAATATGACGCTGTTTTAAGCAAAGTTGGCAAAAATTTTGGAGCACTAACTTGCTTCATAGGTAGAGTTTATTGTTTCCATTGGCTTGTAAGCCGAAATTAAAATAAGCATATTGTAATTTATTTTTAAATAGTATTAATCCAAATATTCACCTAAAATTCAAAAAATATAAAAAATAATTTAATGTCCGAGCTAGCCTATAAATGGTTAACATTGATAAAACTATTTTGAAGGAATTGGTTGATATGTTGGTCCATTTTAAAGAATTGGTGAGCAATTGGAGGTCAATTTATAACCCACTTAACTTTATATTTATTTATGGAAAATAAATAATGAATTCTAGATAAGATGAATTATTTTTAACATAATTGGTAAAATAAAAAAGTTAAATACATATATATATGAAAAAATAAGCATGGGTCCCTATTTCATTCGTTAACCTATTGAATCCAAATAAAAAATGAAGATATTATCACAGGAGTTTCACAATGAAATAAATAAAAAAAAGGACTTTCCACATGATTTAATAATGATGGAAAAATCATAATTGTCATGCGATAATAGTACCTGGAGAGTAGTGAATTAATCAATTTACTCAATTAAAATATGTAGGTAAGCTCAAATGTATTAAATGTCATTTTTCTTATGGGCAAAAACAATTTAATTTTAATAAATTTTATAGAGCCAAAAAAAGTAAAACTACGTTTTCTGAGTGGTAGGATGGGATATCAGACCATCCTAATCATGTGAATAACTATATTCCTATTTGGAAGAATCTTTGGACCTGAATGGTGATTGAGAACTATTGTAGAAAAAGGGAGAAAGCAAGTATAAAATTAATCCTATCTCTGTAAGTAATATTTCATAAACTTGTATATTTATTTGTTTTGTATATTAAGATATCCTAAGTTGGCTCGCTTGCAGGGGTTATTGCTTCAAATTTGGCAGGGGAACTTTTATATATTGGAATTCCATATCAAATCAACCAAGGTGACTTCAATTTTTCTTAAATTTTACATACTGGTTGTATATACAATAACTAAGAAAAAAATGAAATTTTACCTTCCAACACTGTTAACCCGCTAAGATATGGGCATAAAGCGTGAAAAATGGTACATTTTTGACAAAATGCACCTCATTTATTTTCATATATCTCGAGAAATAATTATGTTAGGGAAATAATTATGTTAGGGAAATAATTTAAGTTTTATAATGAGCTTAATAATAGTTCTTTAACATGACATAAAATTAAATTTAATACGATTAATGTCGATAACAGTATATATAAATCCGGAAATAGCCATAGAAAAAAAGGTATTTTTTTCAATTTTTTTTTATATGGATATCACACCACACTGCTTTATATATGTACAAAATCCTAGCCTGAGATGAACATAGCTCTAGGTGTTATGACTTTTTATATGTTTAAAATTGTTCAAATTTAACATAAATATATATCATCATTTTTTAAGTGTAAACTGGATACCCATAGTTGATATTGAATTGTATTAAACGATAGAATAAGTATAACAAAATACTATTTAAATTATTCAAAATTTCTTTATTTCATAAAATTATATAATTATTATTTCTTCTTTTTTCATAAATTTAACAAAAATTTTTCAATGAATTAATTTTACAAAAATATATATTTTCAAAAAAATATATTATTATAATAATAATTATTATTTTTTTACATTAAATAATAATAATTTTTTTCCTCCAATCAGATGTCTACAATCCATCTGATTGACATTTGAGGCTTATATATATACATTTTTTTAACATACTAAGACATGTCACCCCTTTATGGGTCAACGACATTCTTCACCATTAAATATAATATTTAATATATATTTTGAAAAATATTATATTATTAATTATGTTGTTATAATAAGAGAATTTTCTTCTTTAGAATGTATTCATAAGGAAAAATACGGATATCCAGTTGTCCCTTTTTACTCCATATTTATATACTCTTGAGCTTGATTACTAGTTGTACCGATAATCATCATGCGATTGCAGGCTTGACTCGAATAACGATAGTCAGCATTTAATCGTTGGCATGATCTGAATAACGCTGGCCCTCCATAACATCAATTGAAACGACCGAAAATTTTTCCCGAATTGTCTTCTCACTTTTGTGAATCCCATTGGTTCAATCACAAGGTCAAAGTTTATAGTCTTAGTTCAACCATAAGGTCAAAGTTTATAGTCTCTTTATTGTCTAACACAATTTGAATCTTTTTTCTTTATACCATAGCAACATCAAAGTAAACCGTCCGTGAAAACAAAAAAAACATAACTTTCTTTTTCTTTTTCCACTGACCATCCATCACAAAAATTTACATTTTTTATTCTTTACTTTCCTTGAAAAAAAAAACAACTGCTCGGTATATAACATAATCATAAACGATTCCCTCGTTATACCATTTAATTACTTATATTATACTCCTATCACTCTACAATGAGGATACTCGAGTATATAAAATAATCAATAAATTAATAAAATACTTTCCTCCGATGGACTTTAATACCATGTAACCGAAAGCATAAA